TGGACTCAACTTTCTCTCTGGCACATAATTTCTGTGGCACCTTCACGCACCTTGGAAAACTATTTTGCTCAGTATCCCTGGTGCTTGGCTTACTACAGTTGCAGTGGTCAAAGTAAAAGGGAGGGAAATCTCATAGAAACATCCCAGTGAGGCCTCTCAGCTACTGGTGCCTGGAGGGAAAAGTCAGACAGATCAGGAGCATTTGGTCGTCATTCTCTTCCCAATTACATACCTGGGACTATGGCTGAGCCTGATTTCTTTTAAATGGGCTCAGAAAGATGGGCTGCCCATCTCCCCTTCCTCATTCTGATCTCACAATGTGGCATACAAAATAAGTAAGGCAGCTGGTTCTCCACCACAAGAATCTGTTTCAGCTGAGGGCCTGCAACTTGCCCAGGGTGTGATTTGATAAATACAATGTGAGAAAATCCACAAAGAGGCATGGCTGGATGGACTGAGGAGGGCAGGGGAACGTTAAATGCAGCTGAGGAGTACAAATAGATTTGCCAACTACAGGTTGGTAAATCTGGGGGCGGTGCCCCGGGAGGGGAGGGTGCTGTGGGGATATAGTGCCATAGTTCCCACCTTCCAAAGTTTCCATTTTCGCCAGGGGAACTGATTGCTGTAGTCTGGACAGAAGGTGAAATTCTGAGATAACACCAGGCCCCACCTGGAGGTTGGCAACACTAGTTACAGAGTAGTGTGACAGTGACATACCAGTCAGTTAGATTTGCTTACTGCTCTGTCTCGTGCACATCTCAGAAACCTTTGCTTCTTAGGAATCTTCTGCCTGGAAGCTAGTCTGGGGGCTTGTAAGCGTGTGCCGTTCCTGGGAGCACAGAGGAAGGTCATGATGAATTAATGCAGGCTTACTATTTTCCTGTATTTCCATGTTTTGTGCTTTCATGCCAATAAAGGTTTTGTTTGCTGCTGAATTAATGCAGGTGCAGCATCGTCACAGCTCTCTTTGAAGGGTTCGTAGAGTGCCTTTCCCTTAAGCATGAGCCCCTCATTACCCCCACAGTACTGAGTGATAGAGGAGGAAGACCTGAAGTTCCACACATGGCTTGGGGCGAGGAGGACAGAAGGGGGTGTTGCAGGCCCCTGCAGAAGTTGCACGCTGAGCCTCTCATTTGTCTCTGTGGTCAAGATGTTGTTCTGTGGTGTGACCAGTCTTGGGTTCCGATCTGTTTCCATCCGGATTTATGGCTGCATTCTAGACTTGCAGAAAACCAGCTTTGCCATGAGGCAGCCGCATTTATTATTCATTTTTAAAAAAATATTCGCCACCTCTCTACCTTGTGGCACTCGAGGTGGCTTACAATATAAATAAAACAGCTATAAAAATATAACAGTAAAAATCTCAATTAAGACTGTTAGTAAAAAACTAAGACAAATACAGTCTTAACTAAAATTGTCTTCTGCTGCCTCCTGAAGGTCAAAAGCGAGGGGGTCAGGGTCACTTCCCCGGGGAGGTGGGGCTGCCATGGAAAAGGCCCTGTCATGTGGGCCCAAAAGAAAAGCATCTTGATTAGTGGGAGTCAGAAGAGCCTCTCCCTGTGATGTTAATTCCCAGGAAGAATGTAGCACTGAGGAGGTTCATTCAGATATCCCCCTCCTAAGCAATGCGGGGTTTTACATGTCCCAGCCCCTCTCTCGATCCTCATTATATCATCTCCGGATCCTTTCCATTTGTTCTTGTGGTGAGTCCTGTACAGCCTCTGCCCCTCTCCCGTGCAAATACTTTTTTCCTCTCTCAGAGACTAATGTGGATGGTCACATACAATAAATGTGTTCATGGCCTAAAGGACCTGCAGCAGAACTCAGGATCTTCCCATGTACAGCCTTTGGGAGGAAGCTCCAAGTGATATACGTGTGCCTTGGGAGTGTGATGTCATCGTAGCATTTTCGCACTTCCCAGATATTGATTCGTGCCATCTATCCAGGATTACCATCTGCTCTGTGTGCAGTTGGTAATGGTGAGGTTAATCTTCTTATACTAGTTTTTTGTTTCTAATGCAAACCCCCCCCCCATTCTGCTACTTTCCCCTTTTTATCTGGGGGAAATATAGGGTACTCGTGCATTTCCTCCAGGAGGGCAAGGAGTTCTCCCAGGGAAGATTGAGAAACGGTGCAGGAAAGGTTACATACTACTGGTGCAGGGAAGGTTACATACCGCTACTTCAACTAAAACTTTAGAGATTAATTAACATATCATCCAGCATCTTGTCAGTTTTCACCCTTAAAAACCAAGCCAGAATTTTAACTTGATTTTAAAAGAAACTGGTTACACAGGTGAGATCTTTGTATGAGAACAATGTGTTTCTGCCCTGGGGACTCCCCATCAACTTGGTTCTTGCCCCGTGAGGTTGAGATCCAATTCTGTACTGCAAGTAGCAGTTGTCAAGAGGCCAGAACAAAATTGGCTTTGCGGCTTTGGTGCAGGGGTGAAAAAAGCAGCTGAAGCTTTACAATGGGGGGGGGGAGCATCATTACCTACTAAGGCCTGCTTGTCAAGGGCCAGTTGAAAAGCTGGCAATTTTAGCAAGCCCAGAATTCTGGAAATTTTTTTGCATGCAAATGGGAAGGAGTTTGCTGCCTTGCCAAAACCACATTGGGAGAACTGCTTGGTTGCATCCTCAGTTTGGCCATCACTTAATTCTCCCTCTCACAATTCTGCATACAAGTGCTCAACAGGTGATGCTTTACCAATCACAGTACTTCTGTGTTGAAGAAAGCTGGATTTCTCTCTCATGCAGTATGTGTGTTCAGTGCAGGCACTCTGCTGGAAATCCAAGTCAGAGCTGGTTGGAAGCAATACTCTGGGATCGGGGCCCAGGAGCAAAGTCTTTGGCTAACCACGCTTTTAAAATTTTTACTCCCCTTGGTTCTAGGACCCAGATTTTCGCTGTGGCAGGTGTCACGGATCTGAAGAGCAACAGAAGCATCCCTTTTCCTATTGGCACCATCTTCTTCCACGAGGACTTTGATGAAATCACTCTTGCCCACGACATTGCACTTTTGAAGACAGCCAACTCACT